GTAGAGTGCAGGCAGACCAATCTGTTGGAGGTACAGTGATTGATCACCACTGGGCTTTTGAGAAACAGAGAGAGGCACAGACCAAGAATGTTTCTCTGCTCTCAAAGCAATTTTTTTGTGGGAGCCAACAAAGCAGCCAATAGTGCAACAACTCTCCCTTGTATGAAGAGCCCATAAACTTTAGCTGGCTGCACTCCCCCCTGAGGGAGAGGCCTTGGTTGAGAGCCTGCTGTCATGGTGAGTTGTAAAGGTACCCCCAACGTCCCTTTCCCCCATATGTATATTATTTGTCTCTTATTTGCCCTTCCCCCTTGCTCCACCCCTGTGCCCTCAGACCCTGCTGTTCTACCCCGCACTCTACCTTCCCTATATAATCCTGGCTCTTCCAGAACCCAGGGTCAGTCTTTGTCCCTGGACCCCATTGTGAGGAAGACAATAAAGGCTTCTCATGGAACCCCATATGAAGACTCCTGTCCCTTTTGTAATAAAGAATTGGATGAATAAAAATTCGAAAGAAAAGGTTTAAATAAAGTATATGTAATTGTAAATGATGAAAATATGGAATGAGAAATCCTCCTCCAGGTCGAGGCAGGATTTCTCTTCCAAAGTTACAGATTGCAAAATCCACCCAGATAACGAACCCCGGCAGGCACATCAACTCGGAGGAAAAGACAGAACAAAGACCATCATAGGGACAAAGAGCTAGCCTGAAAGTCTACCTCCGGACCTGGGCAACGCCCGGCCGACTTCTGCCGGAGACAATCAAGTGAAACAAAAGGGACGAGTCTCAGGAAGATGGTCGTTGCTAAAATTGAACACCCCACCCGCCAAACCTATGCTGGAGTAACTCAATCAAGAAGGACAAAGAGGAAACAACTCCTCCGAGATATCCATCGGCACTGGCCCGGATCCCTCGACTCTGCTGTGATGAAATGTGTTAACATACATACAGAATCACTTTGCATTTGAGGAGACTCTGCCCGGACACTTACTAACTCAATCTTCTAGGCCAGGAAATCCATTCACCTGACAATCAGGGACACTTGGTGAATGGAAACTAATTGGAATTCTAGCCTGGGGACACAAAATCCCTATAAAAACCCAGGCCAAAGAACCCTCGGACGTGGATTTGGGAACACCTATACCTTGCGTATAGACCCTGTCCACCCAGCGCTGCGCTGTTCATTTTATTGTGGTTTTTCCTCGCTGTTTTGCTGTTTTGTTAATTTATAATAAATTTATCTTTTTTATCCTTAATCTGCCGTTGCATTTATAACACTTTCTTCAGAGTCCCTGAGGAACTGCAACCATCCAATAGCCCTTTTCAGGGCTAGAGCTGAAATCACTAGGGCAGACGTGCCTTTGTGCCCAAGGGATGTCCCATTGGAGATGCTTCCCTGGGAAGGTCACAGCACTCTATCATCCTCACCCACCGCAACAGTTTCTGGCGCATGCTCCAGCTGCAGCTCTTCTCCAGCTTGGCAAGGGGAGGAGTAGCATCAGCTGTGCCCCAGCTTCCCTGTACCACATGGACTGCTCAGCTGTGAGGGCTGTGAGCCCCACACTTTGTTCAACTGGCATGGACTGTGATGTTCTCAGCATGGTGATATCTCTGCAGAGAAATCCACTGAAGTTCACAGTGCAAAACTGCAGCAGCTCAGCAAGGGCGGGAGCAAGGAGGTCTCTGCCCAAAATCTTGGCAGGGTCTGGTGAGCAGAGAGGACAGAAGAAAGCAGTTTGGGCTCCTTCCCAGGCCTCAAAAAAAAAAAAGCTTAGTGTTTCCACATTTACTGCTTTCCTTGATATGTGGGGAAACAGTGGACCCAAAGTGATCCAGCTGATCCAAGCAGGGTCTGTCTGCAACCTGCATCAGAACAGGCAGAGACCAGCCAGGTGTCTGCGGCAGAGCACTGTTCCTGTTCCCTGGAAAGGGCTACCACTCCCATGGCCAGTCAGAACAGGCAAGTATGGCAAATGTCTGAGCGCTCATGATCATTTTAACCATGGACACTAATGTAATAAAGAATTGGGTAAATAAAAATTCGGAATAAGAGGTTTAAATAAAGTATGTGTAATTATAACTAATGAAAATATGGAATAAGGAATTCTCCTCCAGGTCGAGGTAGAATTCCTTTTCCAAAGTCACGGATTGCAAAAGAACCCCCCCAGATAACAAGCTTCAGTAGGCTCATCAACTCGGAGGAAAGGACAGGACACAGGCCATCATAGAAACAAAAGAACTAGCCTGAAAGTCTACCTCCAGATAAAGGCAACGCCCGGCCGATTTCGGCCGGAGACCATCAAGCAAGACAAAAGGGACGAGCCCCAGGAAAATGGTCGTTGCCGAAATCGAACACCACACCCGCCAAACCCATACTACAGAAACTCAATCAAGAAAGACAAAGAAGAGACTACTCCTCCGAGATATCCATCGGCGCTAGCCCGGATCCCTCGATTCTGCTGTGATGAAATATGTTAAAATACATACAGACTCACTTTGCATTTGAGGAGACTCTGCCCGGACACTTACTGATTCAATGTTCTAGGCCAGGAAATCCATTCACCCGACAATCAGGGACACTTGGTGAATGGAAACTGGTTGGAATTCTAGCCTGGGGACATAAAATCCCTATAAAAACCCAGGCCAGAGAACCCTCAGACGTGGATTTGGGAACACCTATACCTTGCGTATAGACCCTGTCCACCCAGCGCTGCGCTGTCCATTTATTATGGTTTTTCCTCGCTGTTCGTTGCTTTATTAATTTATAATAAATTTATCTTTGTTAATCTTTAATCTGCCGTTGCATTTATAACACTAACATTAGACAGAGAAGCTGGACCCCTGGATAGTGAACAAGG